CTACGGTAGCCGATAGCCATTACACGCAAGACGCGGGAGGACTCCGCGATAGGCGACATCCATTTATCAAGAGCACCCCTCGAGTAGATGGTGAGAGCGTGTTTGTGTTTGTGTTGGACTTAAAAGAACCGTTTCAGTTCCGAGGGTGCTTCAGCAAACGTCCATACAGCCCACGAGTCTGGTCACCCCTCCTTCCTGAGGCACATTTAATGGTGCTGATTAATGAAGCCATTGGGCATGAAGGTGCCGGGTGTTCACGGGCACCGCACACTGCTGCGTGCGGTGTGTGCGGTGCGTCCAGCAGGCGTGGGGGTAGGGGATGGGTAGGCGGCTCTGACGTCACGGCTGCGTGCGGTGGACGGTCTGCTGTGGCCAGTCCGACCGGCCACAGCGATCGCTGTGTGCGGTGACGGAAGGCTGACGTAGGGACGCAGTGGGCGGAGTTTCGAGGCTGTGTGCGGTCCGACCGCACACCGGGCCCGTGAACAGCCCTGGGTCAAATGTCTAGAGAGATTGTCATAAACAAGCATGGCAATGTGAGTTCACATAGGCTGAATAATAAGGTAAATGACCATAAAGACATGGCAATAAAATGACAGGCCTCTGGTAACCAGATTTTTTATGACCCTGACTGATCCTTTGACCAACAAGTAATAACAAAAAATAAATGCAAATGAATATTAATGCTTTTTGTTTCAAAATTATAAATTTCAGAATCAAAAACAAATCAAAAGATTCATGCCAATGAGTCAGCATTCCAAGCATCTCACAGCACAGCTCTGTAACAAACATCTCAATCTGCAAACAAGAGCTTATAGCTGAAACCCATAAGACCACCACTAATGCTAATTGCTACACATATATGATGACAATGCCAGTAATATCACATAATGTTTAAGAAAGAACTCTTAAATACAGAGAGGGCACAGCCAAGGCACCATGGGTAACACTTACCATGAGACCCAGAAGTTGCACATGACATGACAGCTGTGACCATGGTGCTACAAGATGGTGCAGCAGCAGCCCGATCCACCTTCATCTTCTAGGCTGTCGTTCATTTCCCGTACAATCTCAGTGAAAACTTGATTTACGTTGGTTTTACTTTTGGCACTCGTTTCAAGAAATGGACCACTCCACATCTGAGCAAGAGCCATTCCTTCTACCGTTGACACTTCACGTTGATGCTCTAGGTCAACCTTGTTGCCAACGAGCATGATAGGTACCCTGTCAGTTCCTTTCACCCTAGCAATCTGTTCCTTCATATTTTTAATGTCTTGAAAGGTTTGATGATTGGTAAGGCTGTAAACAACCAGGAAGCCCTGTCCATTCTTGATGTACAAATCACGCATGCTGGCAAACTGTTCGGTACCAGCAGTGTCCAAAATCTCGAGCACACATGGAGAACCATCCACCTCTATTTCTTTCCTGTAGAAATCTTCAATCGTCGGGTCATATTTTTCCATAAAGTGTCCGGTTACAAATTGGACGGTCAAAGCACTCTTGCCCACACCGCCAGAGCCCAAAACGACAACTTTTAATTCACGCATTTTCAAGCTTGATGGTCCTTCACAATGATACTAAAACAGTCTTAAAAATTTCTCTTAATCGACTGACACACTGGCGCAACGCCCACCTACACACCACTCAGAATTAGGGAGCGCGAAATCACACAACCGCACCACACCCCCTCCATCGCGGATGTGCAACAGGCGGTCAAGGACTCAGGTGATCTGAAACTCTTCGAAGTTGAACGATAACGTGACGTCATTAGTTCCGCAGCTCTGATTGGTTGTCGTTTCTGGCACCTGCAGAATAGTGATTGAAAATTTTTCAAAGAATGATAATATCCATGAGCTACATACTGCTTACTCTTTACTTTTGGCCAGTTCCTCTTCCTGAGTGTCACCTTTTGTTTCCTTTCAAATATCAAAAATATACATATACCAATTTCGTAAACTTCAATCTTTTTTCATGAGAACGGACTAGTGACGTAAGAAATATAACATGTCTAACACAAATGATGAGACAAAACAGGTGTGCAATAACGACGCATGCGGCAAAAATGACGCCGTCCGTTCAAGGCTATGAAATGGGTATGAAATCGCCAAGATTCTTACGGAAATGGCTACATTTTAGTCCAGGTGACAACTGACAAGGAGATAACTAGATAAAGTCCTGCAGTTTCTATTGAGCTGGTTCCGATTACTCAGGTTCCAGGATGATGTCAGCGACCGCAGATGCCCTGAACGCCCTCAGTGCGAGAGCTAGCGCAATGCCAATGCCAATGACACTAAGGACTAGATGGCGCTCGTGAATAGCAGAGGGCGCTAGAGTAGCATTAGAGATGGCGCTAGTGCAGCAGGGAGGGCGCTGGTGTAGCAGGGGAGAGCAAGATTAGAGGACTAATGTGGCTCTACCCAAGACCCTAAAGCTCTACCAACTTGGCTCTACCATAGAAATGGCTCTACAATGATTCCTCCCCCTGATGTGGCTATGATGGTGAGGGTGCCATTTAATTTGTAGACTAAGCGAGTATCCGGACTCCGATACATTGACAGACAGACAGACAAAAACTTTATTCCAGACCATATTGGTCCATAAAAAACCCTTCACATCATAAAAAACACACACACAAACACACATGCTAAAAAGACACACACTGCAGCCTAAACACAGGGGAGTTAGGACATACAGCTAGTGCTGGACGGAATCCTGTCGGCTGTCAGCTTCACACGGGATGGGACGCCACTCCTCATGAGCGGGATGCGACAGAGGAGGTATGTACCAACTTGTCAATTATCCGTGTGGAATAGTAAATGAATGAGTACCGATCAGGAGCCATGTAGGAGTCTCGACTGCAGGGGGGGGGGAGTCTCGACTGACAGCCCTTCCCCCGACTGGACCGATACAACTGCTTACTAACTATAAATGCAGTGCAGCTGCTTATCGCTCAACAGCCAGCTGTGGTACCTAATAGGATCGAGATCAGCAGAAACAGGGAAGGAACTGAATGTTCTTCAGAGTTCCTAACACATCGGAGTCCACTCAGCTTGTGAGGAATTGTATGTATGTATAAACCAACATTCCCTTGCAAAAGTTCACCCGACGTACGTACCTACTGATCTGAGATACACACTACATACTGTATAATCGTCATATTATGCCGTGCCGCGACCCATGAGGACAACGCTGAGAAAAACCGAGGACGTGAGGACAGCTCAGCCCATCCGCCGTCCGGTGGCGCTGGTGTCGGTCGACAGTGCCGTCCAAAATCACTCATTAGCTGCACTCGGATCGGGCGGACAGACGCAGACCAGAGCGCCCGCTGGACAGGCTCCCCGGGTCGACTCGCTAGCGACAGACGACCGGGTACAGCGAGCGACTCTGGCTCTCGCCGACTGACGACTCTGACTCGCCGACTCGACTCCGCTGGTATGGAGGTGCGCTGGGCGCGACTGGTCGTGGCTGCGGCGGTGGCAGCGGTGGCCCGGCCCTCTCCGGCTCCGCTGGGTACCGGGGTTGACTGCGAGCTACCTGCCAGAGTCCGAGACAACATCCTCCGGTACCGGCCGCAGGTGGACCGCATCATTGAGGTGAGCGGATCGTGTGAACCAGTCAGCAGCCAACTCGATAATTCTGCCTCACGGGCCAGAATGGAAGCATTGCGCGAGAATATCGACTTATTGGGCTTACACACTGTGCAATCCTGTTTCAGCCCATGAGCGATTTCGCATCACCCAACAATCTTCAGTCTCATACGCTTCAGATTTATAATGGAGTAGCCTCGTTCATAAATTACGAAAAGTTAATTACTGCACAAAGCAGATAACTAGCGCTGGCCTCCTCAGCCCTTTGAAAGTAATCGACGCATGTTTACGTTATAGTGCGGCCTTCAACGTCTAAGCAGTCCAAGCGGCTGCCGGCTGTCCTCAGCGCAACGGTGCGGCAGGCATTCCACAAAGCACACATGCTAGACCGAACAGAAGTCAGCCCTGGAGGCCGTGCACTTAACACATGACACAAACATGGCCAAGGCCACATGACAAGTAGGTAGGTATTACATACCCGGAAGGATTTTTTAACAATTAGCCCTCGCCGAGCTTTTGAGGTCTTATGTTAACCAATGACAATTAAGATCGTTAAATGGAACAAGGTAGAGTGAAGACCCAAATTGAATGAGAAGCTAGGTAGGTATCCGAGCGTCTGTTTCTTTCTTTGCGTCCCGGGCAATCGTCAGAAAACCGTCAAGAGGCTCATCGGGGGTAGGGGAGAGTGGGGTAATTTGGCCGGTGGTGTAAATTGGCCGCCCCCACCTGTACCATGTCTAATAAAGTGAGTGAAATAACTCTAGTCTCTATTCATTTGTCATGGGTAGAAATAACTGGAGGACAAATGTCTAAACTTTGGCCCTCGTAGTTTTATTCAAAATTAATACAACGTTAATTTCATTAGGAAGTGGTAACTTTTGCTTCTGTTTACAAAATTGTATAACATGTAGTATTTGGGCTAAAAACGAATTCAGACATTATAGCGCCATTCTTGGGGGTGTTCAGCGGTTCCAAGAGCAATTTCATCTAATTCCGTATAGCCGTGATGACTTTATAGACAAAAATTTTCAGAATGGCAATATGGGGTAATTTGACCGGGACTAGCGAGGCAACTTGGCCGGTGCGCTGATGGTCACTATGCTAGGACGGCCGAGTTTTCATTGTCAATTGTACCATAAATGACATGATTCATGACCAACTTTGACTACTTTGATGCCTTACTTCCGATTGGTCAACTGTAAGAGCATGTGACGTCATCAAAGGTTACCAACGTTTTTTGCTAATAAATCCTTACATAAAAATGGTACAGCCACACAAATGGTCTCATTCTGTTCAGTTCGCCAAGGCGCATCGAATGATATGCATGATGACCTTGAAATCACGTGACCTTGAGGTCTAGCGACGTGAGGTAACGTGACCTGAGGTAAACCTTTGACCTTGACTTCTCGAGGTCAACACATATATGTTTCGATGCGGACTGACGAGAGAATTACGATGGTACTCGAAGCTTTGGCCTAGCTTGATTACTTCAAAAGTTATTCGTAAAAAACTGTCTTCGCATCTAGAGCCGCTAATTTGGCTATTTTGACCCCTGTGACCCCTGAGTTAACCTCCAAAATGCGGCAAATGCGTCATAGGACACACGTCATTGCTGAATCTGAAGCTGACTCGCAATATAACAGAAAATCCCGGCCGCAAACTTAAACCGGCCAAATTGCCCCACACCCCCGGCCAAATAACCCTGCTAGTGGGGCAATTTGGCCGCCTTGCAGACCTTTGTAATACGTCACAATTTCAATATAAGTAATTACTCTATCATTTCAAGTTCACTGTCCAGTAAAGTAAAATGAATGCGACACCTGCCAGCGTTGAGAAAATGCAGAAATGTGTCGTCAATTTTAACCCGCGCGGGGCTGGGGTCTCCAGCCGAACGCGCGGGGCTGGGGGGGGGGTAAATTTTACCCCCCCCCCCTGTTATCTCCCGAACTAATGGTCCGATTTGGAAAATTCAAACGCCAATCGAAAGCTCTCATCACGAACTACTAAAAACATGTACTTAATTTAAAGTTTGAGGTCAAGGTCAAGGTCAGGTCAAGGGTACAAATTGCAAGTTTCTACAGTATCGGCCTTGCACCGTAGTTGCCGAAGAATAGAGTCATGGACTGAGACTGATCGCCCAAAACGTGTTCTTAGGCTACCAAGACAATATTCGTTGCATACAATATCATTCAGAGGTCAAGGTCAAGGTCAGGTCAGGTCAGGTCAGGTCACCAAAAAACAAAATATAGAAACCCAGCCGGCAATTCGCTTGGGCTAAACTATGGCAAACGTCGGGCAGCTTGGGCTTAGCCTGGGTTTGCCCACTTCGATCAAAACCAATGCATTTTTTACTTGGGCTGAGCTTGGGCATGCCGCAGCTATGCCCGAGTGTTACCAGCTGCAGCTCAGCCCGACATCCGCCCGCGCAATCAAAGCAGGCTCAACTTGGGCGGAGCGCGGGCTGATCAAGCTGGTTGTCTCCTTTGGCTAACTGGAGTAAAGCCGAAGTTGAGCCATACTTGATCGGCTGTTCACGCATGCGCATTTCTGCGCCAGTCACGTTTTGCTCGGGCTTACATCGGGCTACCGCCAATCGTCGCACAACTAGGGCTAAGCTACGGCTGTCCGGAGCTCGCAGAGCGGGCATACCTCCGGCGGAGCATGGGCTTTAGTCGGCGTTTTTGTGTCATACGCCGACTTTAGCCCAAGCCCTAGCCGACTTTAGCCCGACTAAAATCTCGGGCAAGCCGCACTTTAGCCTGCTTGGGCCCGGAGTAAAATTGCTGGCTGGGAAAGGGCATGTGCGACACATGTTTTATGGGTCATTTTACTCATAGAATTCAATAGACACACTCAATAAGTGATATGGACCACCTCTGGATGAATTTCAGGTCGAGGTCAGGTCAAGGTCAGGTCAAGTGAGGTCAAATTTTGAAGTTGCTTGTTAAGGCCTAAAAAGGTGTCTATCTGATGCAGTTTTTCACGGCGAATCGAATGTTGCTATTTTTGTTTCCGTACGAGGTCTAGAACTTCCAAAAAAGTCATTTTTCAAAAATTTGTGTGTCGTGACGTCATAACATTTTGAATAACTCCCACATTTTTGAACCGATTCTTCTAAAATTTGGTATGTAGGTGCACATAGACCACTTCTCTGACATATATTCCGGTTTTTTTGCTAGACTCAAAATTTTGGATTTTATAATGATTTTCCCAAAAAAGTCAGTTTTTTGAAAAAAATTAGGCCAAAATCCAAAAGTTTCAAAAATCCGAGATAGCCATTTGATAGACAAAGTAAAATTACGTATAACCTTTTTTTTTTGTTACGTCTTGATTCCTTTAAAAATGAAGATGTTAGCGGCGTTTGAACTTTTGCCGTTTTTGAGGCGAAAATGGCGAACATGACGTCACGAAAACGTCAATTTCTCAAAAATTTCCGACGGATTTCACTCAAATTTTCAGGGGACGTGTCAAATTGATGTAAGAAAAGGTACTGAAAGTTTGGCGGCGCTGCGCGCCGCCGTTTTTGAGATATCGCAAAAATTCGCGAGGGGGGGTAAAATTTACCCCCCCAGCCCCGCGCGGGTTAAGCTACATCGTTTTCTAAAAAAAGCGGCCAAATTACCCCACTCTCCCCTACTCCTTTTTCGGCCGGGGAAGGATCATTATTTTTTACACAAAATGTCATTTTAATTTTGTCCTTGTCCTTAAATTTAAAAACGTTTTAAACGTCTGTCTGTAGCATGGAGACGTTTAAAATGTTCAATTTTGAAGAGACCTGTCCCGAACGTTCTGCTGATCGTGTTGCCCCAGTAGGTACACACCTAGGCATTATAAGAGGCCGATTTATTCGTGTATTTTTTTTTGGCGATTCCCAACCACAGTCATACAACTTTTACCGAATACCTAGAACAGGACTTCACTGAAACGCGTACAGCACTTAGTTCGGCGTGCGTAGCTTTGCAGATGTCCCGCGCGTTCCGAGTAGGAATGGGCATATGCACCACTTAACCATCGCGGAAATCCTTGAATAGGTATGCCAAACATATCGTCACATCGGGAAGCGTGTCTCAGTCTGTCGCGCCTGCGGATCGTCAGTACCGGATGACAGCGTAAACACGGCAGAACTGACGCCCCGCCCCCGCCTCGTGACCTTGACATACCCCAGGGAGCCCGGGCGACTGAGCTCCGCCTCGTGCCCTGCCGTGCCCCGGGCGCGTATTCGCCAATTGTATTACACGAATCGGCCCATCAACTAGCGACATCTCTAGTGCGACGTCATAGCCATGCGCCGCGACAATGCATGCATTGAGGCTAGATTTGAGTTGAGACTTTTTTGAAATTGTATATGGCTATCAACGATGTATGTGTCGCAGTAGCCGAGTGGTTAGAGTCTCGGTGTGGTGGACGAAAGGTCAGTGGATCGATTCTTGCTTTAGCGGTTCTTTTCTCTTAAAGGAAGACTGCCACCTTCAAAAAGTTTTCTTAGATCGGCCTATGATTTATTCCCTGGACAAAACAAAATTTTAGAATTCACCTGACAAAGTATCATCACGTGAATCGCGAAAAAAAATGTCGATTATCATACAATTATCAATCGGTTAATGTCTAGCGACAATGTTTACACATCACTAGACTTCAAGGTCATAAGATTATTACATTTTATTTGAAAAAGTAAGGTATTTTATGATTTACTAATATATGATTTCATAAGAAATTGGCCATGTTTAATTCATTTTGCATTTAAGTTCTTAAAACATTTAAAAATCATGGCTCATTTGGAATGGGTCTGGCCCATGTTAAACACCATTTCCCACGCTTTTTTTTGGAAAAAATGAACTACTGAATATATGTTTAACTTTTATTTTGACACTCCAAAATTCTTCTCTGATCTCGAAACAATCAAAGTTTTGACATATATTTACCAAAAGATAAGAAAATTAATGTTTCAAAGTTATCGATAAACAGTAGAGATGTCGGTTTTCTTGGACTAAAAAAATGGCATCAAACTGAACTTTGGTCTCCGATTTCTCGCAAACGGGTTCGAATTTCGGAAAACCGTCTTCAGTCTGGGACATAGGTGGCTCAGCTCTAGTGAAAACCGTTTTGTGGAAAAAAGGTGGCAGTCTACCTTTAAAAAGAAGTCGGTCGTAGACGCGCATTTTTGGCCCCTACGTTCGCACGCCAATATCGTACGCCCAATAAATCTCTGACAAGTATTCATCTGATTAAGGAGTAAGTTGCAAAAGAACTGCAGTTGCAGTCTATACCTGAACTACCAATTTTGTTACGGCACTGTCGATATTCGTCAAAGTCGGAAGAGCTTTTATGAAACACACTCGAATGACAACGGATTCCTGTATTATTTCATCGATCAGATAAGACATGTATAGAGATAAATTGATAACAGCCCGCCGTGAGCATGCAACTTAACAACCAGTCCCAAGTTATCTTCATAAAGGTCTAATATAAATCTTTTGACTTTAACTATGTAGATTCCAAGGGGACTTAGGTATCCCCCTGGCGGCTGAAATGTAAGAGCTATAGTTAGGGCATAGCTCCTATAGATGACGCTCTGACGGCTGGAAACTGATAATCTCGTCCCGTGATTGTATCCCCCTGGCGGCTGAAATGTAAGAGCTATAGTTAGGGCATAGCTCCTATAGATGACGCTCTGACGGCTGGAAACTGATAATCTCGTCCCGTGATTACGCTAACAGCTATGCCGAACTTTTTTGTGCATGGTGATTCTTACACGAAAAGCTATGCTTACTAGCGTGCGATTTTTACTTTTCATCTTAGTTTTCGCTACTTTTTGGTAGGGGAGAGTGGGGCAAAGCGGCCACCCGGGGCAAAGCGGCCATCCATCGTTTTAGCCCTTCACAGCTGGCGTCAGTTCCAATTTATGATTTCCAATTATACTTCTCTTTGCGGTCGTTCGAATGAGCCAGACCGGGGTTTCAGGCCCATCGCCATTGTTCTGTGAAACACGGAAAAGCATTTCTTGCCAGGTTACCAATTATGTTTACAATTTTTAAATTTTATTTCATTCCATAACCGTTTGGAATTTTTATAAGCGTTCTTATCCATGCATTGCGTGGTTATCGTACATGCCTTCTACCAATTTTAATGCTTTTTACCCCACTAATAGCTGAGCTGGAATATTTTTGTCTCGGACGGTAGCGCGGGGCAAAGCGGCCGGGGCAAAGTGGCCAGCCCCCAATTGGCCATAAGTTGTTTCCATCTGGATAAAAACATTATTTATATTCAAATGTGTCGTCATGCATTCATCTTGGCCACTTTTCGGTTACATGAGTTACCAAATTATGCAATTAAATGTTTTTCCAAGAAAATTGTTTCTTTGTTTAGCAATAGGTGGGAAGATAACAAAGTAAACATCCATCTTCCCTTAAACCTTGTCACCATCAAATACCCTAGTCGTGCATGAGGCAACTATTCTGTTTCTCATATCGGGACTTGAGAAGTCGCCAGTGGCCGCTTTGCCTCAGGGATGGGGCAAAGTGGCCAATATGCTATAGGTTTAAAGTTTTGTCAATATCTCCCATATGTGAACGCCTTTGGAAATGAAACGCAGTTGGAATAAAAGACGATTTAATAGGGATCACATTGGTATAGAAAGAATCTTTCCAAGTTTAAAAATCAAGCGTCGGCATCGTTAGAAACGTTAGGGTGGCCGCTTTGCCCCACTCTCCCCTACTTTACCTTGCCAAGTGCCCACCTACTTTCAAAAGGTCAGCGCCGCCGCTGTCAACGCTGCGTGCTATCACCCATTAGTAGCGAGAAATATTGATCAATGAATGGCCATCGCCCAGCACCATTTGTCTTTCCATTGGCTACGTTCGCATAGTATGCAGTATGCACTATGCATTAGTGATGTCAATCACAGAAAATCAGAACACCGCTACCAAACCAAATACAAACAAAGACCATTGGAAAATACCGAAACCGAACCAATCGGTTGGACTGCAAATATCTATCTTATGCAACATATTCATTAGAAGAATGCCTACGTCTGATTTCTTAGGTGCACGCCGTTGCAAATGTATAAAAAACGCACAATGACACGAAAATCGCAGTCGCCGAGTGGATTCGAACCACCTACCTCTGAATCATCAGTCCGATACTCTAACCACTTCGCCACGGCTTCAACATGTTCCCAAGAGCTTAAATGTCATTAAGTTAAAACCTAGCTTCAATAGACGCCACCAAGGGCGAGGACCGAAAGTATGACGCCACGCTGACGTCACTCAGGAGGCACGCTATTGGTCGGCCGATTCGTGTAATACAATTCGCGAATACGCGCCCCGGGCGGCAGACATGGCGCCTGAGGGCCTGCTGTGACCCGCGACCCGTGCCCCGGGGCGGTAGGACTGACACCCCGCCTGTGCCCGAAGGCGGCGCTCGGCGACCGGCACCGTCACGCCGCCTACAATGGCCTGGAGGACTTTGTGGAGCGGTTCGGAGCCAGGCCGTCCGGCTCTGACGAACTGGAGGCCGCCATCGACTTCATGAAGAAAAAGGCCGAGGGCGATGGATTCAAGGTAGGTAAAGGCCGCCCCACACTGGACCTCGCATGCGGGTTGCGAGTTTTCGGTTTTTCAGGTTTTTTTTCCAAATTAAAGAATTCACTCTATGTTGAGTAGCACATACCACCATGCAACAAGCGAGTCTGCATGTTTTTAGCATGCAAGCTAACTTACATCGCATTCCAAAAGTTGATTTTGAGTCAACTGTCGATTTTCCTCGCTGCGAGGTCTGCGAGTTCTGCGAGGTTTGCGGGTTTTTCGTTGAAGTCGAATTTTGGTTCGTTACGCTGGTATTGCGACTATATGTAAGTTTCTGAAGGTGAACCGGCTTCACTGCATTCATGAAGTTACCCTAAGGGAACGGTCTAATCACTCTATGAATAAGTATTATGCTCGCAAAATCAAAACCCGCAAACCCGCAACCCGCATGCGAGTTCCAGTGTGGGGCGGCCTTAAGAGCTAACCAGCTCGCAAGGCATATCGGAGGGTCGCTGACTCATCAAGTTTATGGGTTAATAACTTACTTGATAACTCAAATGTAAAGTACGATTTAACAAGTAAAACGAAGATTCAGATCATCGACCTACCATAGCATCGAACGAGAGCATAAGTTGACTGTTGGTGGAAAGATAGGTAAGTACCACCAATGGCGAATCAAATTAGTCACAGAGTGGTAACAATCAGCATTATACCTTAAAACGTGCATCAAGCCTGTAATTAAACGATACAAAGAAATATCTTCAGATGCTTATCATAATTATATTACCATAGTATGGTAACACCAGTACCACCGTTCACCACCAACCGTGATGGAACAGCTAAGTCAGGGAAAGGCACTGTTGGCAGCTACGCCTTCAGTGATAAAGCAGATTATCAATTATTTTGCTCTTCGCTTCTCTACATATTTGATTTCTGCGGATCGTTGCCATCAAATAATAAATATGCAGTGCCATCTATAAGTAAAGTAATCTTGGTGCCATCAACGTCTCGTGATTTCTGGTCAGTCTCCGGTCATTCGCACTTGGCTCGTAGTTTTGCTAGCACAGCTACAGTAGCCGTCGCTACAAATCGGCATATCCTGTCTTCACTACACTCGCAACCGGGCCATTATTCACACACAGTAATTTTCAATTCGTTACTCCATTACGGCAGTGGACATGGCCCGGTTTTGGGTTTGTCGCGATCCTACCTCTCTTCATTCTCAAGCACCATGGGATCTTCCCTCTCTTCATTCTCAAGCACCATGGGATCCTCCCTCTCTTCATTCTCAAGCACCGTGGGATGCTCCCTCTCTTCATTCTCAAGCACCACGGCTACATCGCTTCGATCGCTGGTCTTCACAGCTGGCTGGTCAGAGCTGTCAGCGCGCGTAGAATCACTGACAAAATCAGGAATCACATTTTCATGGTCACTCGTAACGGCACGAGATTCATTGTTACTCCTGCCTTTGCTGCTCCTCGACTTGGGTGGGTGTTTTGCACATGGTCTTTTGAATCCACTCCCTGATATCCGATGTACCAAACTTTGTGGCACAACATACTGCATGTCTTGTGCATGCAGTAAGCAGCTTGGGCTTGCACTTGAATAAGCGGGGAATGTGCTCATGTTGTCGCCATCCTCAAAGTCTTGCTGCACTTCACGTCCACCTTGTTTCTTGTCCGACATTCTAATAATTACAGAACTAGAAAATGTATATCAAATTGTTCCTAAGTTTCTTGTCTATTTATCCCGTCACAATCTATAGTCTCGAAACACCAGGGAGTACCAACAGCCGCAAGAAGTGCGCCGCAGTCAGCTCGTGCGACGTGCGTTTTCTTACTGGCGTGTCCACGAACCGTTTATACACAGAGCCTACCCCGACGGGCAGGCTGATGCAGTTCAAATGGAAGTTATCTTTAGTGCTGATAAGAAAGTTAAACGAGTTAGGTACACATGAGCTTGTCAACCATGTTGCGATGGCCGATGCTGATAAAGGTAGGCGACAGGCGTGCATGGTGTTCGCTAATAAAGGGGTGGCGGGGAGCACGAAAAATCTATGGGTGACTGTCGTCTGTCACTATTCACCGGCTCATCTTCCCTCGCCCAGAGCGAGGCACCGCCGCTACCGGGGAACCACACATCATCATATGTACACCACACTCGTCCGTTTACCACGCTCGAAACCGAGACCACGCTTCACACACGGGTTATCCAAATCGCCACTCGCATTACGTTGGGCCATGAACCTCAAGGCAAAAAGAAGCTAAACGCCAGACGGGAGCATGGTGTCGACTTGTCGAGGACATTGCTATTCAAGACGAGTGGGTACGCACCATAAATGCAAATGCCTAATGATCCCGTAGAACTCGCAGCACGGTCATATTCAACATTGGCATCTTTACGATATACCAGCGTTCACTACTTTTTCACTTCTTTTCACTACTTCACTAATTCACTACTTTTCCGAGATTCTGTTATCAGTGGTGGCCCCAACCGGCGTCGAGAGGCGGTCAAACGTCAAAGAAAATAGTTTGGAGATCGTCTCTGCAGGTGCAATGCCATAGGCAGAATGCTAAAATGCTCGTCTATCTCCTCTTGTACAGGCTGTACATAGTCGTGCTAAGGGACGTGCTCCTCCACGAACCTCGGCAGGTACAGCGCGGACGACTGTGACAGGGTTTGTTTTGTCCCAGTCACATATCGTTCCCGTTTTTCCACGAACTGTACCCGCTCACCTCAAACAGCGGTTCGATAAGATATTGCGCAGTGTGTGCAGTTTGACAGCATTGTTTACACTGAGCACACCACAGCATTAATCAATGTAGCGAGCGACTGAGAGCAGGCCGAGACGGCAGTGAATGCAACGTCACTCGCCATTATGTGATGTCTGCTGCAACAAACGTTACGGTACCTACCAGAATGATCTGGCCCAGTCGGACGATCAAGGTCTATCGGTAGACGGCAAACAATATTGTCCGACCAGGGAACATAAGACCTAGCGTCTAGCGAGCTCTACATACGAACTCATTACTCGTACTATTCAACATTCATCAAATCACAGAGGGCAGTACACGTTTCATACCCATTTGTTTCAGCTGAAGCACAGATGTATGTATTCCATATATTTCAGGTCACCCTATATTTCAGCTCTAGCACAGATGTACTACTGTTATCTGTGGCTGAAGGTATTACGAGGAAAACAATTTTGTCGACAGGTGCACACGGAGGAAGTGATGGTGCCACGCTGGGTCCGCGGGGAGGAGACGCTCATGATGCTCAGTCCCCGGCAGAAGAGCATGTCGATCCTGGGTCTGGGCACCACCATCGGCACCCAGCAGTACCCGGGCGGCGTGCTCAGAGCCGAGGCCGTCGTCTGTGACAGCTTTGAGGAGATGGAGAAACTCGGCGAGGCGAAGGTGAGAAATACCTACTAATTACAGCAGCTGCTAGCGGTGAGTTTCAGAAGTGAGGGACGACGGATGTAAATTAATGCACATTGGGGCCATGGATTGACGATTGTAGGATCCAGAGACATACTGATTCCAAACCAACGTCCATGCCTTTCATTTCAGATTGCCGGCAAGATCGTCGTGTTCAACGACGACTTCGGGGACGCGTCTGACGCGCCGCTGACGCGGTACCGGTCCTCCAACGCGTACCGGACGCGGAGCGCGGCACGCGCGGCCTGCTTGGGCGCCGTGGCCGTACTGGTCCGCTCCCGCACAGACTACAGCCTGTACACGCCGCACGCCGGGATCCAGTACTACGGCAACAGCACGCAGATCCCCGCGGCGGCTATCACCGTTGAGGACGCGCACAGCATCGCCAGACACTATGCCAGAGGTACGTCTCATTCATTTGAGAGCCAGAAAGAACACAGGAGAGGGCGAAGGCGGAGGATGCTTAGGTTTCCAAATAGTGGCATGGTAGGGTAGAGATATACTAAGGCTTTGCTACCGGGTATTGACACTCAGTATAGTGTTGCGCTGAAAATTAGATAAACCAATGTCACATCAGCCGTTGTTTGCTACTGCCGCGCGAGTTCAACGATCCTCACGGCGCATCGTTTGCCATCGATGTTTCAGGAAGGACCGTGGAACTGCTTCTGAAGATGTCTGCAACCACCCTGCCGATGCGCAAATCTCGCAACCTCATCATCGACTACGGTCGTCCAGAGTCAACCGAGCTGGTCATCCTGAGCGCGCACATCGACAGCTGGGACGTCGGCGAGGGTGCCCTGGACAACGGTGACGGCGTCTTCATCAACTACCAGGCCGTGAAATTGCTGAAGGAGCTCGGTCTGATGCCTCACCGCACGATCCGGTTGGCCTACTGGACTGGCGAGGAGCACGGCCACATCGGCGGCAAGCAGTACGTCCGACAGCATGAGGGCGACATGGACCGGCTGCAGATGGTGATCGAGAACGACTTCGGTCCGTTCCGGCCGATGGGCCTGCGGGTGAACGGCTCAGAGGGCGCCGCCTGCTTCGTCCGCCACCTGACGTCCATGCTGGGGGCGGCCAACGCCACCAGCACCGGAGGCAGCCCTGCACTTTCGGAGGCTCGGCACTTCAGTCAGCGCGGTGTGCCGGCCGCTGCGCTGGACGTGGACCAGAGCCGCTACTACTGGTACCACCACACCGAGGCCGACACCATGGACGCGCTCGACCCGCACGAGCTGGACCTCTGCGTGGCCACCATGGCCGCATCGGTGTATGTTGTTGCTGATGTGGCAGACCGTGTGCCCAGATAGGTGGGGGTGGAAAAGACTACCAAGATGAGGAATAGTGAGTGATGCGGGGATGTGTTCACTTATCGGCTGTGGGACGTGCGGGCTGGTACCTTGCAGCATGAACAATAGATGCAATGACAAATATGAACCATTTCGTATCTTCATTCGTAGCGGTATAGCCCACGGTCATGAGTCCAATAGCATTCAATTTCTGTGTAGCATGATCAAGACAGGCGGATTACAAACTTTCCAATGTTTCATCTTCAATTCCTCATCGTTGGCTGAAGCTAATCGTTACAGGCGATTTACAGACACGCGAAACGTGTCTATTTGCCCAATCGATCGGTAAAGTTTGCATGCAGTGATCGTCCTAGATGTGACGGAAAGTCGTGAAAATACATAACTGAATAACGAAGGGTCGTATTTGCTTGGCCAGCAACGAACTGGCCGAGTGGTCCATCAATACACGAACGTTTCGCAACTTTTTGTTGATTTCCGCGAAAAAGGAGCATCCAAATCCAAACTTTCCAACGCCTCCCAGCTAACTGTTCCTTTCTTTTACCGGCTACCGCCATCCTACCGTCACGCTAGGATATCACGCAAGGAAAACTTCGTCCCGGCCGGGCCAGAGCAGACCAAGCCGGCGGCCATTCATCCACTGACCTCTGTCGACCGCGGTCCTCGACACTCGCAGTTCAGATGCCTTGGCTACCCGCAGTGCGAAACAAAGCGTCTCAAGACAAAGCGGCGCCCGCTAGTCACCAGTTCGGGGCGACTCCCGCGCCTCCGCGCGACGCCGAGCAGGACACATCCGGCAGTAGTGAGGATGATGACGAGGAGAGCAGCAGTCCCCCTCGGGTGGTCGCCTGGGCCCGGCCGGCGCGTCTCCTGCGGCCTGTGCGACGTCTGATGGAGATTCGTCAACTCTGCCCCCACATGCAGCTGATGCAGAGCTTTGTCGGAGGCAACGTCGACGACGACAGCGACGAGGAGCATCTGGAGCGGGCGAAGCAGCTTCCGGCAGCGGCGGCAGGTCGGCAGGGCGGCGAAGCAGCTGCCGCGGCCACACCGTACTGGCCGCCAGCGTCCTGGGCTGCGCTCGAACGGCAGTCGCCGGCACCGCCGCCCCCAGCCCGAAGAGGCCGCAGCATCGGCAGTGAGAGCGGCGGTCCCAGGCGGTTGGGCGTGCGGCGGCGCGGGGGCCAAGCGCACTTCGTGGACCAGAGCCGGGCTGCAGCGTTCTCGACCGTGCGAGACATCAAGATCACCCTGCAGCGGCGCACCTTGGCCGGCGAGTGGCCAGTCACAGAGGGTGCAGACTGGCGCACGCTAGCTTCCGAGGCGGAGACGGCGTACAGAAGACAACGCTTCCGCTATGCTGCCAGTCTGTTCTCCAAGGTAAGCGAAAATTTATCATGGGGGGGGGGTAGACATGTAATAATTTTAGTCCTTTGTGCTTCAAGTGCTTGGGACTTTTAAGGACCGTTGCCCTACGACTTTTCAGAAGTTCTCCTGCATTTAAATACTAAGTGCCAAAGGTTTTTCACTTTCAGGCCTTGCTGAAGATGCCCCCACAGCAAGGCGAAATTCGCCTACGATTGGGTCGGGCCGAGAGCCTCGCACGGCTGAGGAGGTTCAGCAAGGCTGGAGAGGACGCCCGGTGGGTGCGCCAAAAGGAGCCCGACAATGCCACAGGTGAGATGTTAGTAGCAGCACACGGACAAATTCAGATGAAGTCTGAAGATCAACATCACGTCACAACCAGATCGCGGCTCAAAATAGAACTGGTTCCAATTATCAGTCAGCAAGAAAAGCCGTATCAGCGCTTAGTCTTGCACAGTAAAACTTCTTTTATATGTGCCAAGATGATGTCTGAATGATTCTGTCCTCGACTGATTTCAGCGCAGCTTCTCGAGGCCGATGCTTTGCTGGAGTCGGGGGAGCCCGAGCTGGCCTTGGTGCGGTACCACTGCGGCAGCCGCAGTGCGCCCGGACACCCGCGCTTTGCCGCCGGTGTCAGACGCTGCGAGGGCATCATCAAACGACTCATGTCCAAGGTCGTGCTACGGAAGATGCAGGCACACGCCAAGTGTCCCGAGATGTGCTGGAAGACGTAGAGCGAACAGCTGACAAGGCATCGCCGATATAACTAGACGCATAATACATATAGCCTTAGGCGCACCTGACGGGGTTACGGGCTTGGTTCATAGTATAAGTGTAATAGAGGTAAGCGCATGCCCCGTAGCGGAATTGTACACGAAGACAGCCTTTAAAACGGCAGCATTACAAGCTTGGACTGCGCACTTCTGGTGTGAAACGATGGTGCCAATTGAAACTATCCCATTTTATAGCTCGTTGCGTTCCTTGCTGATTTTCACGACTCCTATGAGTCACTTTGTGTAGCTTTGTAGACTTACTGCAAGCTACTAAGGTAGAGATGCAAGGTACACCTGCGGGGCACCGGAGTTGCGCTTGAAGACTAGCAACTTCAGTCATAGCATAGTACAGCTTCTCTGATATCAATAAATGTATGTATTTAAGGCAAATACGTGGATATGATATAAGGCCCTCATACAAAACACCAACTATCAAGCACAATGACGATGCATCATCAAAAATACATTGATTAGTAAGCGTAGTGCAAAACCGACGATTGCATAACAAAAACGACTAGCACGACTTTGAGTGAGCTTCACCAGAGGTCACCTACACAGAAGCCGAAGATCACAGTGCGGCGGCGTGGCTCCTGATGCTGCTCCTCCGCCACGGAGGGATCGAGCACCCACCCACCAGTTCCACCTCGATGCCGGCCTGTCGCCAGTCGCGGAACCAGCGCGTCCACAGGTCCGATCGGATCATCAGCTCGACCAGCTGAAGGCACTTCAGGCCCGGCAACGCGGCCAGCAGCCAGTGGACGACGCGCGGCCAGCACGTGCCGCCGCGCAGCCGCAGCAGGCGCACCGACGGCAGCTGCAGCCCCGACGGCACAGACACGTCGCTGAAGCCCTCCAGCTCGAGCTCCGACAGCCGCGAGCACCGCGACAGTGTGCCCAGCGTCAGCGGCGCGCCGTCGTCGAACTGGTACTTGAGCGAGAGCTTTTCAAGCTGGGAGAGCGGTGCTGACGCCAGCACTTTCTCGGCGAGCACAGAGCTGGTGTAACAGTAGTGAAACTCGCGTAGTGCCAAAAAGTCGGCACCCGGAGACTGAGTGCGCACATCTCCAGCCAGAGCAATGCGGCGCAAACGCGGAAACATTCTCCCGCTTAAGGGAAGATTCGCTTCGAGACGCTCGCTTATGGTAGTCACATGAAGCGTCTCTATGTTTACGACTGACTGAGAGCCTAGTCTAGATCCCCGAAAATACACAGCACACTGCACACTTCTCAAAAAGTTAAGATGTGACTGGTTGGCGACATCTTCAAGATAGTACTTACAGCTCTCCATTGAAAGCTTCGTTAGTGCCTTCAGAGGCCTCTGTAACATTGTACAGTTTTCGCAAGCTCTCAGCGACAATTCTTTCAGTTCACTGAACCAAGAATCTGCCTCCAAGAGTTCGGACTCTGCTTCCCTCACACGCCAGCCGGACCTTGGTTTGTCAGGGTGCACAGACAACTTTTCTAGCGCCGGAAACACCCTGCACAGAGCTGCCAGGTCCAAACACGCATCGTGACCCATCAACAAAGCGAGGTCGACCATCCGACGACTGGTCACGCCCTGTTCAGCCAGCGCCGCCACACAGCCCGCCTCCCGCAGTTTGAGCACACGCAGCGACGAACACTGCTGCAGCAGTCTGCAGACGTTGGCCGGCTCTACCGCCTCCTCGGTGATAAGCGTGGTCAACGACGCCAGCCCGATGAGGTGGTCCAGCAGCCGCTGCGACATCGGCGGGCTCGTCCAGGTCAGCTCCGTCAGGTGGCACACGCGCGCCTCGAGCAGGCCCTCCAGATCGGCGGCCGCCACCTGGGTGAGCGGCTCGCGCAGGCACAGACACCGCGTGTACGGCGAGATGACGCAGTAGAGTGGCGCCGAGCTGGTCTCCGGCTCCCGCAGGCTCAGCATCAGGTCACAGACCAGGTCACAGAGCGGCGGCGGCAGGGAGTCGAACGGGCCCGGCGGCAGCGAGCTCAGCAGCTGATCGGTGCTGCTGCTCGAGTATGGCCCAAACAGCACACTGCTGCGACGCAGCATCCACTTGATGCAGAGCGTTTGCAATGAAGGCACGCTGCTGTCGGGGAACTTGTAGAACTCATCATCCAATGATATGATGCTATCCAGCAGGGACAAATAATGTATGTTCTCTGGAAAAACAGGTTCTTCAAAGTTCCTGTACCGAAAATTTCGTAGCACTCTTGCCATGGCCTGAAACCATATAAAAATATAAGCTTGGCATTGAAACAATCAGTTGCCTGCGGTGGAGCCACAAGCAAATGACGGCAACAGTGTGAGAAGCCCAGCTGACTTTTATGCTGCAGCTCACCCTTATAACCAGCCTCAACCAAGATAACTTTGCGAAAAGCTTCAACCAGTTTTGAGCACAATTAATACAGGAGTTTTGAGATGAAGAAGCCACTCCTAAATACACACTTGCCAAAGAGTGACTGCTAGTAAGTTGTAATAACAGCTCAACCAGCCAGGTGATATTTTTTCCCCTGCAAGATTTTCCTGTACCTGGTACCTACTTATGAAATGTAAAATGTACAAATGCTCATATATATTTAAACATTGCAAGCTCAGAACCTTCAGATTGTGATATGTATGAGATTTGGTGACCTTTCCTGAATATTTGTACAGAATATTATACAAAGATTTTGAATAAATACCTACCTATATTGGAGTTTCTCGGCAGTGTTTTCATCAAAAACTTCTTTTCAAAAAGCACAATATAGGATTGCAACGCGTTATTTTTGTATTACTTGCGTCATAAAGAGGACAAGCTGTGCTACCAACTCGTTGCTACCATATGCAGGGTATTCTCTATTCTTGGTTTTTCATATGACAGTCGCTTGCTCTAATTCACAACCTACTGTGCAGTCAATAGTCATCATATGAACTGCACAAACCTTGGCACGACGACATTAGCACCATTTTTGCTTTAACGTATGCGATTCATAGGCGCGGGAGCCGGGGGGGCAGTGGGGGCAGCTTGCCCCCCCCCCCCCCAACTCTGGGGCCGTGGGGGCGGTGCCCCCACAGCTTTGAGACGGAATACCACACTTTTTTGCAAATGTTTTCTTTTTTTGTTGAAAAAGTCGAGGGGTGAAAAATAAGTGGCCTAAAACCGGTGGGAAAACTAGATTTGGGGGTACCCTAGGTTAGTCTCTATTATGGTGTGCCCCCCCAGTCGGAAAGTAGTTCCCGCGCCCCTGATGCGATTTCATTAGCTACCACTTACCAGGAAAATGGTGACCTCAGGTTGATGCTGATTATAGGCTTGTTGTCAAGGGCAAAAACGCTGGGTTGACCCAACGCTTGACCCAAGTTTTACCAGCCATGCAAATTCTCTACTACCGAATTAGGGGGCAGCTTTACCTTTTCCACTAGACATCTCGACCATTTCGACTAAATCTCGAAGGGCCGATTTTATGCTTTTGTCGAAGAAATCCGCAGATCACAAGTCATTGTCAACAACCCTGCGCGAAAAACCCAGACGAAATTCAAATAGCCTGCGGATCACTACTCATTTTCGCCATTGGATCAGTAGCATAGTGACCGATAGAGGTAAATGGGTTGTGTGCTGCAGCACTAGCAGAATATCAAGTCTTTATGGGACAATATCCTACCAACAGACATTTATTTGGAAAAATAGGCACAGCAAGACACCATCATACGTTCTGTGCGAAAAAAAAAATGCAGTGGGTGGGCTGAGAAACACTCCTAAGAGGGCGACTCATCCCTGGATTGTTTTACGCCCGGTACCGTTTTCACGATACATCAGTAGTACACGGTCGGCTCCGTGGCATCACTGTGTGAAGCGTCCCCAGGGGCGGTAAAGTGCTCGCGCAGTTTGTTTAGCGCCCGCCTTCGGTGTGAGATGCTGTTCTTCACCTCCTTGTCCATCTCGGCATATGTCTGAGAGTAACCATCCGGCTGGAAACACGGGTCCCAGCCGAAGTCGCGCGGACCACGGGGCTCGACTATAGCGCCATCTGTGCGACCTTTGAACAGCACAACTTCGTCGTGTTCACCGCCAGGGGAGAAAGCGAAGGTGCACAGGGCATAGGCGGACTTGTCTTCCCAGGCTGACAGCATTTTGGCTAAACCCTCAGGTTGAAGATTTTTCAAGAACCATTTGATGTAAGGCCCTGAAAAGGGCAGGTGGCAATGAGACAAACACAGCTTTGAATGAATGAATGTTTTTTTTTTTGTTCTATTGGAAGTTTCTCTCAGTCACAAAATGCGAAAATTAACAGTGCATAATTATAACTACTTAGTTCACTGAAATAAACAAAACTTACCTGGCAGTCCACCAAATGCATTAAAGCATAAACAGGTGTCTTCTACAATGACAGGTGACCGTAGGAGGCTAGCTGCTGTTTTACATTTCTTAATTGATACTTCCTCTGGTGTTCCCTGGTACTCTGGGAGATCAAGATCGTTATTGATGATCTGAAAAATGAGGGTTCATCAAACTACAATAAGGTACTTATAGCTGCAGACTGCAACTCATCAACACCACTTGGCCTAATGAGCCCAGTACCATCAAAGAAATTGTCCATGTATCTGTCTCCAGTCATTAACCCGCGCCCCGTAGGGCTATCGGCGGACCCTACCACCCGTAAGGGGGGGGGGGCGTTTCGGTCCCCCCCCCCTAAGATCTCAGAAATTTACCGGCCGATTTTCAAAATTCAAATGGCGTTCGATAGCCCCACCGGGGAACTACCTTGTGACCAAATTTCATTGAATTGACCTAGGTCAAACCGATGACGTCACAGGTCAGGTCGAAGGTCCGATTTTCACCGTTCACAGGCATTTCAAGAAATGTGTTGTGAAATCGAGTAAATTGGTAAGTTATTGAAAACCATCGATGGTACATTGTTCGTCAAACACATACTTTGCTATCTGAGGTCACTGATACCAGGTCAGGTCACAGAGGTCAGGTCACTGGGGGTCACAATATGAAAGTGTCATGTGATACATGTTTTATGGTCCATTTTACATGACAAATGCGATTATGTGGGTCAGGCAGCCTTTCGGGCCAGCTTAGGTCACGTTTTGGTCAAGGTCAGGTCAAGGTCAGGTCAAATTAGGTCAAATTTCGAAGTTGATATTTTTGCATAAAATGGGTATCGATTCGATGCAGCTCGTCACGGGGAGCCTAATGGTCTTTGTTTTGCCCTACGTGGTCTAAAATTGCCAAAAATTGAGTTTGAAAATTTGACGTCATCATTTTTGAAGTTTTTTTTCGCTATAATTAGGCCATAAAACGAGACATTGATCTGAAATTTGGTATGTAGATAGGAGATGGTAGGTACTATCACATATATTCCGGTTTTTTGAAACTCAAACTTTTTGGATTTTTTGGCTGATACATCGAAAAAAAATGTTCTTTAATTTTTGGGGGTCAAAACTCAAAAATTTCAAAAATCCGAGATAGCAGTTTTGTAGCCCTGTCAATTCTACACCTTTTATGTCTTGATTATTTTTCTGTATCTTCAAAGCTGTAGGCCTGACAGCTCTTCTCGCGAAGGTCTTTTTTCGGTCGAAAATGGCAGAGCATGACGTTATTCTGACGTCATTTGTGGCCAACCTTGAACCTATCATAGTCCCTGGAACAATTTTTGGTAAAAATGTGTAAAATTGATGCTCGGAGGGGTCCTGAAAGTTTGGTGGCGATATCTCCAGCCGTTTAGGACATATCAACGGAAAAGGACAGGGGCCGTTTCGCCCACCCCTACGGGGCGCGGGTTTATGAAGCGATTTGAGAATTTGACATGTGCTTGGTGCTGCTCTAGCCATCCTTTGAAAGCATGTAGGCAGAGGGGCACAATATGAAGGAGATAGGGTATTTTACTCCATGATGACTTGCATACTGTGGAATGTGGATATTCTTACATACTTTCTTAGTTATATATTACAGGAAATCGTCAAACCTTTAAAAGAAATTGTAACAAACTAGAAAACAATGATAACCTTAACAAAACAGCACCAAAATGGCAATGATATATCAGCTATGACACACATCATGACACCCTCAAAACAGGAAGTGAATATCATTTGTGTGAATTTTGCAGTAAGTGCAGGATCACATGCTTATTTACCAGACAACAGACATTCAGAATCATGTATGAATTAAGCCTCCTTGTTGGTTCACAATTTCTAATATGTTTTTAATTTAAAAATTGATGTTGAACAACATACCTGAATTGGAAAGCTGTTTCCCAGAATGGCTTTGACCTCTTCTAACTTCTTCATGTTTCCAGTGACAAATGTGAGTGGCTGCCCATACAGAGCTCTTGCTGCCATTTTATGAGCTGCAAATGGTCACCTGTGCAGGACAGCATAACATCAATATCTTCATATAATATAATAAACAATCACAAAGAAGTGGAGTCAATTCTAAGATCCCTATACAAGCAAATGTGATGCAGCCGCACAGCAGGACACATTTTTTCCAATTTACAGGAACTTTGCAATCTGCATTTGATGTGTAATTTTTAATAATTCTTGTCAGACCATTCTCATAAATCTAGCTCAAATGCTGGAATGAACAGATCAACAGAGCTAGAGCCCACACTAAGCAGGGCTTATTGCATAGACCCCTTCCGCTCCGTCCAACCCCAATGCTGGGTAATCAAATAGGGGCATTTAGATAGAAGCGTTTCAGTTTAGGGGCGTTAAACGTGCCCATGAAAGCCGGGCAATGCAGGACCCACTCAGCTTTCAACTGGTTGCAGCTGCTCCCACAACTACCTAGTATCTACATACCAATCGCCATCCCTGTCAGGAGTCTCAAATATTGAATACCGAATGACTCAAACCAAGCCTCGCACCGCTTAACCCTATTCCTGGCGGGCTCCGCCGGGACAAGAAACTGGCGGGGGGGGGGGGGCCGATTCGGCCCCCCCCTGAGATCTCGAGAACGAAGCAAGATAGCGACAAGCGGTAAACGGCATCGGATACGCACGGCCAAGATCTACAATTTTTACTAAGGTCATTTTCAGGTCAGGTCAAAGATGACGTCACAGGAGTCGAAAAAGTCAAAATGGCGGCACTAGATATGGAGAGAGTTTTTCTCGAATAACTTTCGAATTAGTCTAGATAGGAACAAACTAAGGGCATCATCGTGATCCTCTCGTCAATCCGCATCGAATGATATATATGTTGACCTCGAAAGGTCAAGGTCAAAGGTTGACCTCAGGTCACGTGACCTCGAGGTCATCATGTATATCATTCGATGCGTCTTGACGAGCTGAACACAATGAGACCATCCACGCGTCTGTATCTTGTTCCTGTACGGAGTTATTGGCCAAAAACCTTTGGTGACCTTTGATGACGTCACATGACCTCACAGCTGCCCAACAGCAAAACAGACCTCAAGGTAGTGAAGGTTGATCGTATATGAAGTCATGTATGGTATATGGGGCCATTCCGACCCGTTTTAGTGGTAAAAACAGGGAGTTGATTTTTCCCCCATTGACTTATAATGGGGAGGTCGCGAAATTGACCTGACCTTAGGTCACCGATATCAAAATTCCGAGATATACAAATTGCACATACTGGTACCCTAACTAAACCCTGAAGAGAAGAAATTGATCGGTCAAAAACTCTAGCTCTGGCGTGATTGCAAACTTTTCTGAGGTAGCGTCACCAAACCGCCTCTGGTGACCTGACCTGAGGTCAGATCAACTCAAAATTTTCAGACATGTTGCGTAGAAGCCATTTAGGAAAAGTCAGAAAATTTGAGCTTCCTAGCTCAACGCGTTTGGGAGATATAACCAAAAAACCTCAGGGGGGGGCTCCTGAGGCCCCCCCCCCCCCCGCCAGGAATAGGGTTAACCTGCAGGGTTTACCAACTTGAACTTGAGCTGAGCTACAGCAATGGGACAGGCATCATTTAAAGTCATTTAATGGAATTGGAATTGCAATTGATTTGCAATGGATACACCAATACATAACAATTCATTATCGACTTATTTTGATTTCTAATAACTTTGAATTATCTATTATCTATTTATTCATATTTTACCGTCGTCTTTTGTATTAACCACACCAAGCTTGGACTCAAAAAGTGCCTCCTGAAAGTCCCCCGCATGTCACATCTATGGCAAGGCTATATAACCATCTATGGCCTTGATGTCACATGTGTGCGGTGCGCATACCATAATACTAAAATAATACTAAAATAAGAATCTTCAAATCATATCATTCAAAAAATTATCTGCAAAATTTTTGAACGGCTAGTAGGGAAACAAAAGCCAATCATAGAGCAGTTTTCACTGCTAGTCCTGCTGATAAAACGCAGTTCACACTTGACCGTCAGTCTGTCGGTGTCGGGCCCGTCACCGTCGACCTGACGGCCTGCAGCCCGTCGAACGAAAGTTGAGATTTGGTAGCTCCCATTGGCTGCCATATATTGTGACAGAAATGGCGCACCATTTTCGAGATTGACGCAGATGGGGGAAGGGGATGGGGAGGCCGAGAGGTTAAAATATTATTTGAATTACAGAAATAAAATACCACGCATTTACATTTTTATGTCAAATATTGCTGAAATTTTATTTAAATGAAAGACACATAGGTTCGCTGATTTAAAACAGGGATCGAATCTCAAGATATCGTGCCGTAATAAACACTTTCATCTAAAAAATGGATGGAAATTGGTATTAATACTCTTAAAAATGCATATAAGCTTAATGCTGCATGAGAACGTTCCTTTTCCTCTTCCTCCAACACGCAGATATTCAAACCGACGGGCCCGTCACCGTCAAAAGTTGAACATTGCTGAACTTTCCAAAGCGACGGCCGTCAGGTCCGGCGCCGGCGCAGTCAGCTGTTGCCGACCGTCAAACGCTGCCGGTTCACACATGCCCGTCGACCTGACGGCCGTCGCTCCGTCAGATTCGGCCGTTTTGACGGTGTCGGGCCCGTCACCGGCAGACCTTACGGGCAAGTGTGAACTGCGTTTAAAAGCTACTTCAACCATTGAATAAAATTTTGAACAGAAAATCCGTGAATCGCAAATGTCACATTTGCTTCTTAGTTGTAGAAAACTTGTTACATCAAACGCTTCCAAATTTCCTTCAATACAAGCTGGCTGAATGGTAAAGTAATCTTGAGTATGGTACCACCATTTCCGTCCTTTTTCCAACATTTTCCATCATCAGGCCACTGCCTTTTCCATCCACGCCTCAATAGCCGCGTTCGCAACGCAGCTTAATAAGCTACCTAGGTAGCTAACTAAGCCACCTTTGGTAGGAGAGCGTATAGTAGACACGAGGAGGCGTCTAGTTTCAACTATAATAATTCGAAATATTGGAAATTATAGGGCAGTTTTGCGGTAAATACATAATATTATGCACTATTACTTAATGGAAATTGTTGTTGAAGCCTGCTGTAAGTCAATAATCCAAAATAACTTAAATAATGTATTCATCCGGTTGTACCAAATTGTCTACCATAAAATATCCCAAATAGGCTGCGGGAAGGCAGTAGTGGCTGTGATGAGGTGCAATTCGATGTCTTCTTTTATTTATTCTGTGTTAGAACCAGTGTCTTGAGTGGTGCTCCAGCTATTTGATGTGTACATCTTTGTGAATTATATTAATTTATCGCAAATTGTGCCTCATACCTTCAGGTTAGTTAAATTGGCAAGCATATCGTGTTCTCAATTTTCATCTCTTCCCAATACCGTCCACGTGTTGCGGTGTTTGGCCTTGGGCTGCGATAGTTTGCGTGCAAGATCGTCCGGGCTGGATACGTAGTGGCGCTGCCGGGCCGCGCGTCAGCCCCAGTGGCAGCGATGAGGAAACGGAGTTTTCCTGGGAACTAGATGTGTCGCAGCGCCCAAGCCCAGGCGGTGCTGTAAACTGTCCGGGCGCCGTTCCCCCGCCCCAGTGGTGCTACCGGTCCCGGCGAGACGTTCAGAGCGCGCGCTGGCCGGCGCGGCGTTGCAGAAGCGCCGCGTGATGGTCCCAGTCGCGTGGCCGAGGAATCGCATGCTCTCAGCGACACCGAAGAGGACCTGCTCATGGACAACGATCAGCGCCGAGCGTCGGTGTCTCCGCGTTCGGGCTCCGGCGATGAGGTCCACGGGATGGGTGCCGGACCGAGCACCGGCCCTGCCGGCGCTACCGGGCCGCGCGCTGGCCCCAGTGGCGTGGCCCCAGCGGCGCGCGCCGGACCGAGCACGGGCCCCAGCGGCGCTGCCGGGCCGCGCGCCGGCCCCAGTAAACAGGGATAAACTCAATAAACCGGGACTGGTGTTTAGCATAACAATTGTGCGTTCGCCAATGAAGCAAAATGTAATAGACAATTTTCATTCAAGGTTGTTTTCAGCAATTAAGCCAGCTGGCAACTGGCGAGAGAGGGCCACGCTAGACCCGGGAGGACCGTGCCGCCATCTACCTGCGGCACGTTAAACTTTCGATCCAAATTATCACCGGTGAACCGGGCGCGGGCAAGGTGGGGTGGTGGGTCCGTGGTGTCATTCGCAACAAGCACTGCTTAGCGGGGCACCCGGGCCCATAGCCACCCATCCATCCATTCGGACAAAATTTCTAAAAAAAAATAAAAACTATTAAAGAAGCACAGTTAAGCAGCACACCCAATGTGTCATAGCATTATGTCAAATTCGGCCTTTTAAGGGTGGAATTGTGCTTTTCAGGACCTTTTGAACACAGGACATGTAATACGACGGGTGAATGAAACAGTTGGATACCTATGTGCATCACTGACAAGGCAGGTGGATATGATCAACACTAACAAGTTGATAACTAGAAAGCTAAATATTCAGCCATATCAGTTCTTTGTGACAAAGCAAGATTCTATAAGCAAGGATATGTCTTTGAAAGCGGCAAAAAGAGACTGAGGCTTTTACTTTAATAATTTTTAGCTGACAGTACACTGTACAGTGAATTTTAGCTGACAGAAATTATTTTAGCTTCCATCACTAGTTTTAGATGAGAGAAATCCAACCATTCAAAGCATTCGGACTAAATTTATATAAAAATTATTGACTGTTACCAGAGGAAGCAATATTGGCCAAAATAAGCAAATAATTTCAAAAACAAGTTAGATAGACACTGCCAGAATGAAGATGGAAGACGAAGTCATGTGTGCATCAAATGGATGAAGTCTAAATAAAGCCTAGGTAATAGGTATAGTATGCAACTTTTAACACTGCATTAGAAAAGCATGTGACACTTTTCCTAGCTATACACAAAAATGGGGACTTTGAAGCAGGATTGCAAATGAGTGAGGGCAAACTTTAAACATGGTTTTGATTTTATCAACAAGTTAAGTGAGCTCCGTCACATCAATTACTTACCAGCTTTGAAAGATAAAGGCATGTACCTCATACCTGTACCATGATTTATTTACTGCTTCACAGCTCGATTAAATAGAATGAACAAGGAATAATTTTGTTTGGCATTTAGGCAAATAACTTGTTAAGTATTGATGAAATCGTATAAAAAATTCACATCCAGATCTGAGTTACTGAAGCAAAGAGAATAAGTCTTATCGTTTGTTTATTCCAAAGAAGCTTGGGCAATTAAAATATAATGAATTTGGCATGCTTCTTACCCAAACACTTAAAAGATGAAATCGTATTGATTAAAACCACCTTCTCCCCAACTTGGTAGATAGGTTCCCATAAAAAGGTGCTTGTGAACATTTCCCTATCAACGCAGCTTCGCCATCCAGCTTGCAGCGCAGCCCAAGTTTTCTCCCTCTACTGGTTGGATAATTGTTGCCACAAAGAACAATAATAGGTAATTTAGGCAAATAAAAATGATAAACAAAAGCACTTAAAAATAAAAAAGAACAATCCTTATTACACGACACAACACACCAGCTTGAAAAGCAGTCCACAAACACAACACGAATGTAATTTTGATGCATCAGGTTTTCCTCACTCTAAAAACCTTTTTTCAATTTGTACTTCTAATCATTTTGTATACAAAACGTTACAGCAATGCATTGCATTACTGAACATTAACCAATAATTCCCAGATTCTAATTACTAACTCAAGAACTCACATACACTCCAGTTAAAAGGCAAACTGTAGCTTCGATTTGACTTTGATCCATTTGTTTCCTGATTCATGGCACCATCACTGTCACTGCATTATAAATACTCCACCTATACTCCAACCTCCTGTTCGAAATACAACTCAAACACACTATAAAAGCCTATCACATAATAGATACCATAAGTAAAAACAATAATAGAAATAAATCCAAACTATAAACGCGATGACTGATAAAATATACACCATTCAACCTTATTATACGACACAAGCCGTCGACTTCTCAAACCTCGACAAACGCAGCGCAGTTGATCGAGCTATGCCCTGAAGGCAATTTTCTATCGATTTAGTGCGGAATAAGTGCCAACAAAATAAAAAAAGTACCGAGTGAGTAAAACTGTAAGCTATCTGAATTTTCCCGAAGACCGAGGCAGCTTGCTAAGCTACCTCCGGCGGAGGTGGCTAACGTGGCATCGTGGGATGCCAGATAAGGACCAAGTCACACCGGCTAAGAACTGCTATGAAGCAGTGTGCTTACCTGACAACGGTGACAATCGTAAGGTGTTGCCAGGTGTGAACCCGGTGTTAGCCACCTAGGTAGCTTAATAAGCTGCGTGCCTTAAGTCACGTTGCGAACGCGGCTAATGAGGCCCCCTGCATTCTGATCCAGGCTGCACGTTCACCTTCATCCGACGTAGGTAGCTCCAAGATTCCAGTAGTACTAAGGAATCTTGCCCGGCCTCAGTCCTCAGGACAGGAGCAGTCTCATCGCGCAATGGGTGACTGTTCGTGGCTCGTGCGAGGCTGTTCGGCAAATATGATTATACGATGGCATAATTGTGCAATGCTATCATGCTATTCAGCATTCAGTCATTTTCGATCCTCAGGACAGTCAAGCCTTTTCCTTGACGCGCCAACAAGCCCGGGTTGGACGGTCACCTTATTCGACGTGACCAGAGTAGTTACTCAGAGTGCGAACATTTTTCGGAGCAGGTTCACATGCGGTCCGCGGAGAGGCTACCGGTTTAGGGGACTCAGTTAGTAGTTTACTCTATCCATCGTGACGGGCTCATCAGCCTCGGCAGCGCACCAGGGTGACCGCCCAGGCCTCTCCGTAATTCCAATCATTCTTTCGGCTCTGAAAATCATCAGATCGAACGGCCTGACCCTACATTAGTAGCGGCGGAACATCTTCAATTAAGGGGGGGCCGGGGGGGGGGCACTGCCGACTTTTGGTCCCATTCTTTCCATGCAACGCCCATGTTAAAGGGGCTAATGTTAACCCTCGCCGGCACAGGGGGGAGGTTGATGCAACCCCCCCTAAGGTTTTTCGCGAATAACTCGCGTAAAAAGCGGCCGATCGTGACGAAACTTTCAGTACCCTCGCATTGATCAATTTTACACCTACCCTGAAAATTTCATGACCCTGACCCCAATGACCTTTGACCTGTGACCTCTTTTCTGTGACCATGTTTGGCCGAAATCGCGGTTCGGCGCATGTCGGCTCGCATTAGCCGCGCGTTTGCAAGCTTTTCGTGGTTTCAAACGTTCAAACATGTGATTTGATGTTGCTCCCATGCATTAGGGTGGGTGTCAAGGTCACCTGAAGGTCAGGTCAGGTCATTGACCTTTGGTGACCTCGGGTGACCTCGGTTCACTTTTTCGAGTTTTACATGTATCTAGGCTAGTTTTTGGAGCTGAATTCGAATTCAGCAACCATTTGAACATTTACGAAGTAGTTTTGGTGCCTTCGTAACATGTTACGAAGCTATCCGAGGCGGTTGACAGGTATTACGAATACCCGTCACAACCCCTACCGGTTGACCTGACCTGACCTGACCTGACCTGGTCTAAATGCTTAAAGACATCATCTCTGATCAAAACTAATACGATATTCGTGATCAGCACCCCGGAAAACCACATGGCAGCTACACTTTACGACTTTCTAACAGGTCCCGATTTTCCCGGTTTTCGGGTCATTGACCTGACCTGGAAGGTCACCTGATGACCTAGGACCTTAAAAATTGGGTATCATCGGCTTCCTCCAGTGACGGGCAACACGCTCGTTTTTTCCGCGAAGCTCTAGTTCAATCAGGGGCCAAACGCGAGGGGGGGGGGGGGTCGTACCAACCCCCCCCCCCTTGTGCCGTCGAAGGACTCAAAATGGCCTGTGCCGGCGAGGGTTAAAATGGCACTAAATCAAGGGGACACGGTGCCCCGGTGCCCCCCCCCCCCGTTTCGCCGCCTATGCCCTACATACAAAACAAACAAAAAATAACTGGTCTTGTTGTGTGGTGGGAATGATGACGCCCATTACGCTGCATTGGCATAGGCGGACATTTGGCAGGGACATGAAATCAATTAGAGACGTAGTGTAGGCTGTAGCCTAGTAACTAGTCATTGTATTATGGTTGAAGCTCAAGTAGGTACCCAAAACAGCTAGGCACGAAAAAGTTTTTGTTGTCCATATACGACACAACTGTTAATCGCAAGGCTATATGCTATGCATAGGTATACCTAACCGTTTACCGACTGACTGAGTGCGACCAGCCTTCTAGGTAAGTACCTATAGCCTTCACGGTAGGGAAGACTGCAGGGCATCTAAGTCTTCAACATTCTCTTCTCTGTACCTATTGTGACTTTTATTGACCAAGATTCCTTTCCAGTCGGGTCTTCTTCCTATTTACCGTGTTTGTGAGTTGTGACTACTAAATATGTATAGGTATGCTCATATTTGGCCGTCAGCTAGAGCTGAGCAGATCGAGCAATGTCACACGAAGAGAGACTGACTATGTTGCAAAGTGACTGTTGGATCTAGTCGTTAACATGCAATGCATTGTAACTAGCTGACGGACCGTGACCTAAATAGGTGTACCCCTTGGCGCCTATCGCGTTGTAGAAACACATGTCATTAATTCCGCCCTGTGCTCCCCTGTGGTGTAATCTCACGCTCCGGGCACAGGCGGTGAGTGGATCCTCCCCCGCGCGGCTGCAGTTGGTTGGACGGACGAACGGTCGCAGTCGGTCGGACGGCCGACCGACCGCAGTTGGTTGGACGGGCGGCTGCAGTCGGTCGGACGGCCGACCGCAGTTGGTCGGACAGGCGGCTGCAGTTGGTCGGACGGGAGGTCGCAAATGGTCGCAAGGCCGGCCGAGAGTTGCACCTTTCGGACGTTAGTAGCACCATTCAATCTTCAGGGATGCCGGGGAGCAGTGCCGTTTCACCGGTGATCTGTCTGTCGGAGATGCGATCTCCGGCAGGCAAGTCGACCGGGGCAATATTGAATAATTCAAATAGGTATGAGTATTCACGCCAGGTCCAAAAATGCAAAAAATAGGCGTTGAACTATAACAGAGTTGAATGCTTGAGATGCAGTTTGTCAGAGCTCGAAGTGACAGCTGATCGATGGACGACCTCCTTATACCACTAGGATAACCTTACCGGCGCGACTATGAGCCGTGACATGCCCCTGCAGTCCCGTTACGTCCTTGGTCTGCACTGCAGTGTAAGCACGAAGACGATGTACACTCTCAGGGAGGCCAGGCCAGTACGAGGCCAGGGAGATCGGTGCCGGGTCGGAACAGGCGCTTATTGGTTCGGATAACGCTAATTCACGTGTGCATAATACAAGGTCTTAGCGTGCTTGGGAGATTCTGGGGAGCGTTACCGGACGATTCCCCCAGCTCGTTGCATCAATTGTGGTCGTGTGTGTTTGAGGTCGCCAAAGCAGGCCCTGTTTATAGTGTACCTAAATGTGTGTGTACGTGTGTTGGGCAGGAAGGGGGCTTTGCAGGTTTCTCTAAACGCGTACGTGGTCCTAGCAGAAGAAGAAAATTGTCCCACCGTGCTACGGTCATTATGGCGATGCTGTTTAGGTCTTTAAAACGTAGCGCCATTGACTGCAACCTGCATACAGCACCACATTTAGCATTTGATTAGTAAAACGTGAGCAATTGGCTCATGAAATTATGCAAATTGAGGGTCATCTCACCGGTCTGCAAGCGATCATATAACTTCCCAATGTAACTGGACTGAAAGACGTCAAAAACCGTGCCAATGTCAGGGTTGTTCGGCACAGGGCACCGTATATAACCCCGCGAATACCAAACGAACGCCATCAGTGTTCAACGGCACATCACAGAAACTCAGTGCAGCTAGTACATCCAACTAAACCAGCCATGAAAATAGTGAGTATCTGGCCGGCGAAGACGCTACCAAAGGAGCGTCTTCTTTTCCATTATCAAAACAGTTTTTCTTAAAATCATTTAGATAGTTTTTGATAGTTACCTACACGATAAGAAAGTCAGCTAATGTCGACGTCATCAGGAGGATACGGCGACTGTTGCCTCATGCGTGGACCAGATCTGATAGGCTGATAACCAGTTCCTTTCTCAGGTGTTGGCGCTTTCTGTTCTGGCGGTGGCTGCGGCGGCGCCTCAGGGCTACGGAGCCCCTCCCCAGGGCTACGGAGCCCCGGTGGGCGGCGCAGCGGCCTCGCAGCTGCCAGTCTATGGCGCCTCACAGGGGTCCGCCGGAGCCCAGAGCCAAGACGCTCAGGCCAGAACCATCAGCGAGGAGAACATCAACAATGGTGACGGCACCTACCGCTTCAGGTAAGACTGCTTACTGATAAAGAAGGGAATATGCGGTTATCGCCAGCCTTCTACGTGTCTATTGTAGCTAATTAAATTTTTCGTGTGATGTAAAACGAGGTTGTTTTCCACTTTTTCCAGTTTCGAGACGGACAACGGCATCCTGCGAGAGGAGGAGGGTGACGGCACCCAGGTGAGGGGCAGCTACAGCTACACCGCCGACGACGGCACACCCGTGGAGATCACCTTCGTGGCCGACGAGAACGGCTTCCAGCCGGAGGGCGACGCGCTGCCGACACCGGTGCCCACCGAGTACCCGACACCCGAGGTGCCGGCCACGGAGGCGGCAGCGGGCTCCTACTCGGCCCCCTCGGCGGCAGCGGGCTCCTACTCGGCCCCTGCGGCTGCAGCGGCCCCCTACTCTGCCCCCTCGGCTGCAGCGGCCTCCTATTCTGCCCCCTCGGCTGCAGCGGCCTCCTACTCGGCCCCCAGCCGCTCATACGGTGCCTTCTAAAGATAGATTGAATCGATGACTCCCCCGAAAGACAGCCAGCCTTTGACCGGCGACAGCTATCGCCCATTTGAACTTCATGATGAGAATGGTGGCGTTGATTCAATATCTGATAAGTGTAAGAGGTTGAAGAGCGATTAAGATAATGTCTGATGGTCGTCATGTATGCCTGTGTTTGTGTGTGTCCATTGTCTGTATTTATAATTACCCTTGAAAGCGATAATGTCGCGTGTGATTCGTCTCCATGTAGGTATGTTAATAGTTTTATTTATTTATTAGTCGTCTGTTATCCGTCTATGTTTTATAAATAAAACTACAAATAGCAAACATGTTTATAATTGCTATGTACCGGAGTTCCAGATCCAGTCTACAGAGCGCTTAGTAAACAAAAAGGCAGACGCACTTTCCCCGCCTTTTTAATTGTACTCCACCGCATCCCCGTAGTCGGGCAAGATCATGGCCGGCTCAAAGGCGCGATCGCTCTACCGACCCTTCAGAGCCCAGTGAAACCCGCCAGACGGTGCTATGATGACCGGTCCACCCGCGCTGGCCGGACAGTAAAGGACCACGTAATAACCTGCCGGTCCCCCTCGCGGCTCTCACGGCAGCGCGGCCGGGAACGGTGTCAGTATCAGAGTGTATGTCCGTGTCACGGTCATCCTAGCGGGCCTGTGGGTATAAAGTTATGTAGGTCGGACAGAAATGTGTTCTGTAGATAGGAGGGAGCGGCACATCACACAATTCGCCTACAGCTGCGATGCCGATAAAAAGTTGTTGCTGCTAATTTGCTGCGTTACAATGGGAACCGTGGATACAAAATAAAGAGCACGGAATACAAATGTAAAGTATATCGTGAATAGAATAAATCTCATCATCTCACCAACGAACAACAGTACAAAACAAATGTATTACAGAAAAGAGTAGCATCATGTAAAGCCTCAGCTTACAAGTAACAATGCTACAGGATCAGCGAAACACAACGCTTGAGGACCACTATGAGGGATATTGTATAAAACACAGTTACATAAATAGGTCAAAAATCTGCCTGATCTTAGGGAATGCTCTATAAAAAGCGAAATATTGCGCCACAATGAACACCAGAAAAGCTACCAAAACTCGTGGCTGTAAAACATTGAAATACGAGAAGGGGTTACACATCGTCGCTACTCGCTGTAGAGTATTAAAACCGGTATTAACAACAAATGTTACATGAAACATGACTGGATATGAAAAGAAAGGCTCAAATAACGGGCTATTCTAACTGAATATGAAACAAACACTAAAAAAAGATGACATTTATCCAGCACGTGATGAAAATACGATACCGGGACGAAATATTATAGCATCTTTGTTCGAAGAAAGCAGCATACCATACACGCAATAATATCTATATTGAGATAAGGACAAACAACTATCACAGCCGGTGTAATAAAAAGTTCGAGATTTTGAATATGAAAAGGGGCTGCCCGCTCCTCATTCCTCGCCCTACACCGCTGAAGGATCAGCGGAATAACACGCTACACTGCCTCGCTCAGAGAGGTCGGTACGTCTCCATCGGCACGGGTAGCAGTTCGTGAAGGGAGCGATCATACGGCGGCGGTGCTCCGTGCGCCCCGCGCGCTGTCGACGGAGCCTGGTGATGGTGGTGGTGATGGTGGTGGTGCGTCACACCAAACTCGGGCCCGGTCACATCAAAACCCGCCGGCTGCAGAAGGTCGAACCGCGGCGGCGGCGGCGGTGGTTGAGGGGGCTGAGGTACCGTCTGAGCATCGCTCAATGGAGGCGGCGACGGCGGCCGAGGAGGCGGTGGATTGGTACGAGCAGAGACCGTGCTTGCCCCCTCCACCGCCGCCTTGGCACCCGCACCGTGCTGGCTCTGTCGGTGCCGCGCCAGGTTCGAGCTGGTGCGGAACCGGGCGCCACAGACGCCGCACTGGTGCGGCCGCTCGCCGCTGTGGATCCGGCCGTGGTACACCAGGCCCGAGGGGTTCTTGAACGTCTTACCGCAGACGGCGCAGGCGTGCGGCCGGCGCTGCGAGTGCACGGCGGCGTGCTCGCGCAGCTGCGACGCCCGGTGGAACGTCTTGCCGCAGTCGGCGCAGCGGTGCGCCGCCGGCTGCCGGTGCCGGCGCAGGTGCTGGCGCAGGCTGGAGGCGTGTAACAGCGTCTGGCCGCACAGCTCGCAACTGAACTGGGCGCCGCTCGTGTGCGCACTTCGTTCGTGTTCAGACAGCGCTGACGATGAGCGGAACGTGCGCGAGCAGGAGGAGCATGCGTGCGGCCGGGCGCCCGTGTGGATACGCACGTGCGTGTACATGTAGGTGCGTTGTGTAAACTTCTTGTCGCACAACGTACATTGGTAGGTTTTCCCATCAGCAGAGACAGTCCACAGACGAGATTGAGACTTGTGTCGTTCTGCCAACACAGACGTTGACGCCTGTAACAAATATCGGTAAAGAAAAATGATTTCGAATGGTTTGAACAGAGGATCGACAAACTAGAGCCTGTGCTAGGCCGAGCTTGCTGGGCCTTCAACGTGCAATTAGAAACACATCCGACCTCTTCGCTGACACCCGGATCACCCCGGTCCATTAAATGTTTGGAGGCCCGCCAATCTATCATCTGTCACCGCTGTGCCTCGACGAAACAGAATAGGCAAAATATAACGGAAGTTTTATTTTACCCACTAAATATTGGAAGCTCTCACGATTGTCTGCATGTTTAGAATATGTAGGGATCACTTAGAAACTCCAATGTTTGAGAAGTGTTCACATTTGATGGGTGCCATCGGGTGCCAAGCCAGCAGCGGCCTGCGGGGCTCGTTTAGCCCCAGAGCCTCGCCAGCCTCGCTTACGACTTGCGCGTGCCAGGCAGATCACCGTTTGCCTATTTATGAATAAGTTTTCGATTTTCGATTTTCGATTTTTAACGGGCAGGCAGCAGAACGGTCCTCTCGAACCTAATGGGCCTCTCTCGCCAAGTCCAAATCAGCTTGATACCTAAAAAGCAGTGTCAACAGTCTACTGTTTCCCAGTGAAGAGCTGGCAATGAACTGTCAGTTAACAGGTGCTTTAGCCATTACCTAGGTGATGCAGAGGAAATCCACGTGTAACTGGGAAAACTTTTATTTAGAAATGTTTGGGCTTCAAAATTGTCACTTACTGCTATCATTTAAAAAAAGAAGAAGAAGCAAACACCAGTAAGCCCTGCTAATTTCAAGAATCATAGTACAATATAAAATATTCATAATAAATTTCACAATATCCAACAAGGAAAAAGTGAAACACGTTGCAAATATTTAGTAGGAAGTAAAACGGGTGATTTGTTTTTACATTAATTTCCATGTAGGTGATGAAATTTGAGAGGGGCTTTGGGCTAATCCAAACAAGACATAAAGTAATAAAAAGCACAAAGTGGTGGTTTACTCACCTGTAGCTCAGTGGTCTGGTCTTTAGCAGCAGGTTTGTATCAGTCGGGGAAACTGTGGTCAAATCTTCCATTTTTAGAAAGCCTTCCATTTTTGGAAGGATTTTCTATATATGGGTACGCACCTTCCAAAAATGGGTACGCTGACGACGTCATCGTACCCAAATATAGAAAATGTTGCGCATATGTTGGAACTTACCGATTTCCGCCGAACATGAGGCAAATGCGACTATCGCCCCTGGTCGCTTTCTATTCGCCATAGTGAAGTGTCCATAATCTAGCGTGGATGCCTAAATCCTAGCGTGGATGTATTTTAGGTAATTTTTCAAAGTAATGAGTCGTGGAAAATTGACAAAAATTTACCGACAAACGATGGTTTTATAAGACTTTATCAAACATTTTGTAAGCAAAAAGCATCAAAAACGAAAAGTAAATATCCTTAAAAGTACTTTAGTGACGGGCCATGCTTGTTCGATACCGCCGACTTTATTTACAGTGCGGAATTGTCTGGACAGAGTGCGGCGGTTTCGGGAGTGTAGTGGCGAGTAAAACTTGTATTTGTTGCCGTTTTCTGCATTTATTAGCATATTGTGTGGTTGATTTCAATTTTTTAAGGCTTTTGCCAAACATTTGGGTGGAGGTCTCGTCATTTTTCAATGTTTTTTTTCCGGAATATGGGACGAATTAAATAGGCGTTGCTGCGCCGTTTTTCGTGTTACTTTCTATCGAAGGAGCATGAATCTTCAATTTATATGAGGAATAGTAAGTTTAATTTAAACCATTTTTTGTCAGGGCTATAGCTGTGTTCCTCCTGGTTGGTTATTGACCAGCTGTTTTCTCTTCTGAATTTCTATGTGTCCTCTAGAAGTAGAAAAAGAGAGCAGTGCGCCAGGACACCATGCTATTATATCACTATGTACATTGACATAGCATGCCTGTATTACCAACACTAGCACTGCTGCTTCTCCTTATATCAATGATCATAAATGGCAAAATCAACTTTTAATGTTACACATTTAAAAAGGCCGTAACTTAAATCAAAGAATGTGAATCACAGTTGGGAACACTGAGATTAGACCTTCCAATTTTGGAAGCCTTCCATTTTTGGAAAATGCATACCCATTTATGGAAGGTCCTTCCAAAAATGGAAGGCTTCCAAAAATAGAAGATTTGACCACAGTTTCCCCCACTGGTATTGTCCTTGCCCAAGATCTTGCCATCCTGAGGCCATAACAAGATCAGTTGATTTTATGTTTTCACAATTTCAGATAAAAATATAGGTAGCTTGAGTGTTGGATTGTTTAAGTGAGCACCTTCTGTAAAGTTGAGCATGGCACTGAGGCTCACATAGTCAATAAAAAGGAAGATGCTATCATTCATAAATCATACCATCACATCTGGTAAAGTAAAGTAACAAAAATAAACATCTTGAAATATCACCCACAAAGTTAGGTAGCACTAGCACCCAATCCGATGTCAGTTGTGCATAGACTACGTCACAGACAGGCAACAAGGCCTTGTCACAAAGAAGTAAGAACAATGGGACACAAAGCAGGCTGATTTGAATTTTGAGGTAGTGTTCCAGTCAGAAAAATGATTCGTAGATAGCTGGAATGGTGAAATATCAGGTACCTACCTGAGTAAGAAGGATGACCAGCTTGAGCTCCTTTTTCCATAACTTGAGCTTGAGCTGGCAGGATGAACGCGGAGCTGCTGCAATCTGTAGCCTTTTTGCTCTCTGTGAGAAGCTGAGCAGTATGTGCATTTTTGTACTTGACAATCACATTATCCTTAATGGTTCTTACTTGTACCTCATGATGACTTATATCATCAACCAATTTCTGGCATGCCTTGCATAAATAACAAAGCTCAGAACCATGCTGAACTTTAGCGCTACTTAGTATAACATTTAAAATGTTTCGGTAACTCTTATCACTTGAATTGCACATATTATCCAGCATAGAGGAATTATCAGCATTTAGTATATCACTGAGGCACACATAACACTTCAATTTTGATGTTGGCATTTTCAATAAATCCAATCCTTCGTGCATTGCATTGTTTTGAACGAATTTTTCATGTGCTCATGTACAGAAAATACGCAGCTGAGACATTTCCAGCACAAAACAAAACCCACTAAACTGCTGCAAAGAAAATAAGGTGAACGACTATCAAGCACAGTGCAACTGCACACATCATCCATCGGACCTCATTGGCATAGCTTTTTGAAAATTTAGGCATAAAAAACTATTTCTTCCATTAAATCCCACATATGCTGCTAAAACATCCATATTTTTGGTGAGACTCGAGCTCTTTTGGGCCTATATCACCGAACTCTGTAATGCCTATATAGAACGGCGTAGATCTGGTAGCCGTCGATAATAAGAATATTCCGAATCCCAGCACCAATACCTACCTATCATTTAAAAAGTAAATAATTGGGAACCAATTTTGAGTCAGAAGTCAGAAAAACTGTTGATAACCTTTCGATGATGAAAGAACTTTCTAAACATCAGCATGTGTGATGTGTGCGCTATCTGTTTTACTGCTTCTAGCGCCACCTACAAAGGATCCGACTGTTTAGATTTCGCACGCACGCTGGGAGACGTCGGACAGTTCAGGGCTGTGGACTGGACTGAGTGTGGAGTGTGGAATGCGCAGTCGATGATTTTTGGTGACTTCGACACCGACTCCAGTTTCCAAAAATCAGCTACGTCTCCGCTTCCGGGCAGAGCTGTCGACTCCGACTCCGAACTCGACTTTGACTCCTCAGCTCTGAATAATTCGTTACCTATATGTCTACCTAACCTCAGTGGCGCGGGAACCGGGGGGGGGCTAGGGGGGCTGAGCCCCTCCAACTTTTCGGCTGGGGGGGCTCGTAATGTATTTGAGCCCCCCCAGCTGGAGGAATCGAGATCGGAAATCTACCAACACAATTTCATAGATTCATACATAGGCGCGGGAACCGGGGGAGAGGGCAGTGGGGGAAGCTTGCCCTCACAACTCTGGGGCCGTGGGGGCGGTGCCTCACAACTTTTCATGAGGCCAGGAACCGTTGGGGCAGCTTATCCTCCCCAAATTAGGGGTTGTGAGTCACAAAGGAAGAAAGCATGTGAGTGAAAATCTACCTATTTTACTGACTCGGCAAGTCATTTGGCAGCTTAAAACCTTTATTCCAGGTTGCCAAAACGGTAGTTTCTTCACTCAGCTGAGACGGAATACCTCACTTTTTTTGCAAATATTTTCTTCATTTTTTTTCGTTGAAAAGGCCAAGGTCTGAAAAATAAGTGGCCTAAAACCGATGAGAAAACTAGATTTGGGGGTACCCTAGGTTGATCTCTATGATGGTTCAGCCCCCCCAGTCTGGAAGAAGTTCCCGCGCCCCTGCCTAACCTATATGTTACCTATATGCCTACCTATATGCCTATATGCCTACCTTAGCCGTTTCGAGCAGCTAGGTAGGTATAGGCCGGTGCAAGCATTAGCGGATTCAGAGAGCCGAACGGTAGAAGGCAGTGGCACTGATGACACTCCGATAAAATATGTAAATGTTCTGTTACTGTTAATTTTTAGGTGAATCTAGGGCTGCTATTTTTCTGTGAGGAAAACGGCATAGGTACTGCAGGAAGCCGGACGCCGTACCTCAGAGGACGTTTGCACGAAAATCCTTGCTGGATCCATCATTGCCGTGCAGTTTAACTATTCGGGACGGATCCAGCGAGTGCACCTCTGTCCTCTTTTGCTCAGCAAGCGACGGCAGGCAGGGCATGTCTACTTTGCCGGCGACCCCTCCATTACCTATGGGGCATGGGTGCAAGGCCCTATTGGTAAGTCAATGGGAGCAAAGCTGCGCCTTTTCTGACGGACTTTATGCTCAAGCTCAATACTCCAAACACCCCACAACAGGGTAACTACTACTGAATGCCCTATAATTACGAAAATTGCACCCGTGACCTTTGAATCTTTGATCCTTGAAGTCATCTTCGGTGATTAGGTTCAGGTCACCAGCATTTTTTTTTTCGACAATAACTTTCGATACACATGCTGTATATATGTAGTGAGGTGACATTATCCAAACAGAAAAAGTCACTTTGTACAAATCAATATGTGGTACGACCGTCGACCGATCAATTCACGCAAGTGTGACGCGTCACATCGAGTGAAGCACGCAACGGCAAGCGAGTGAGCAGGCAGCCAGGTGAAACAGAACCAAACCATTTTATTACTTTCCCCATCAGACTCATGAAGAGGTTGGTGGGTTCTTTTATGTCGAAGGGTGACATTATCTGCTCTCTTAAACGCCTGAAGGCCCGCCAGGACAATAGGAGCCAGGACTCGCTTTTCCCGGCGGCGGGGCGCCGAGAGTTCAGAGGCCGAGCTCACTGGAGGGAGGCCGTTCTGTCCGGCTACCTCTGTAGAAACGCTGCATTGGCTCCCCCGGTACAGCCGCAGCGAAAATCACGGGTGCTGTGGGAGCACCTAACCTATATTTATGGCAATAACTACCTATCATCAACGGCATCAAATCATTCTTTTGCATAAACATGGCAATAAGTATCTCTTCATTTTTATTTTTATTTCATACAGTAAGCTACTGACCTTTGTCCTTTGTGAGCACTGAGCACGACGTGGACCTATTTTCTTTTGCTGACTTTCCGCTAAATAGTTACTAATTAGGTATGAATTGTAGGCATTATTATCTGATATTTATCCCGTAACGGAGGAAGAGACTGCCAGAAAAGCCCTAGCGGGTATAGGTAGGTACCCCAGCCCTCCCTCCCTCCCTCTCCCTCCCTATCTCTCTCTCTCTCTCTCTCTCTCTCTCTCTCTCTCTCTCTCTCTCTCTCTCTCTCTCTCTCTCTCTCTCTCTCTCTCTCTCTCTCTCTCTCTCTCTCTCTCTCTCTCTCTCTCTCTCTCTCTCTCTCTCTCTCTCGCTTGGAAAGCCTGCATTCCTCTATCGAATGAAAAAGTTGCCATCCTCATGAAGCGTGTGAGACGCGGGAGAGAAACTCTCGGCGAGCGGCGTGTTTTATGCGGTAGCCGGAACTTGATGGACGAGCCGATGGATCAGGCGTCCCAACAGTCTCGTGCGAGACACGACAGCGGGACAGGCACCCGCCGCACGCTAGCCGTGGAGACGGATGACCGGCAGTTTCGGGCGGCCATGTGAGGTCACAGAGCCACCAGAGACGATCCGCCTCCCCGTGTGGCCCACATTCTCCTCAATGTTTGAGCAATCCAGAGGAATGGAGGAATGTGGACGGATGAGCCAGCTACCGCCGTGCCTTGATGGAAATAGTAAGCACTTTTGTTATCAAATTGCATAGCATTTGCTTTCCTTTTCAGCGTCATAGTCATTCTGTCTAGGCTGCTCTCGTACCTTATCGAAACGATTGTCTCGTGCGACAGCCGATATAGCTCTGATCTGCCGGGAAGCGTCTCGGTTCGATCCGACGCGCCCGTTTTGATCGCGAGGCACCCGGACCCGGCCGTCGGGCGTCACCGCGCCCCTCCCTCCGCATCAGTCCGGTGGAGATTCGCCGTGCACCTCGGTCCCGTTAGATATTAGCAGCTAGCGGCGGGCGGAGCTGCGTGGCGCCGGCAGGACGCGCCGTCCTGGTGCCCTCCATAGCCGCCGGCCGGGCTCGGCACCAGCCGCTCACCAGTGGGTCAGTGGTGACCCGCGCGCAGCTCGGCCGCCGCCGGAGCCGACGTTTTTGTTGGTGTTTAAGCGGTCTTCTCACTGAGCCGCTCTGCAGGCTGCGTTTAGACCGGACCGTGCGCCGGCGTGCTGCCCCGAATGGCCCGAGAGCCGGGTCGGCGTAATGGCTTTCCGACAGGTCATCTGTCATATTTACGGAGGAAAATGAACAGTGATTATGGCGTGCTGTGGCGCCCGGCAAACGAGCCACCTTAAACGACAGAATTGTAATTGGAAAGCTTTGCGGCGACATGGCAAGACATTCGTTTTTGAGACATCTGTTTGGGACGACACAAATAATTACTACAAGAAAGCTCCCGGCGAAGGTGCGCGCTCATAAATGAACGCCTGAGGGTGACCCTTGAAAGGAATGTGTACCGGCAAGCAACGAACATTCCAAAGTGAGACTGGG